TRWYGAGCATTAAATATGTAAGATTAAATCAGATTTTTTTAAAATTGCCACACCTATGATATTTTTTGTTACTATTTCAGCATGGCAATTAAGAAATTACAGCACTTTTCAAAAGAAATAAGATTRAAATTTGGGGTCTATTTTGAAAACCACATTCTTGCTCCAGCAACCTGCCTGCACATATGCAAGCCATTCTTGGTCATCTCAGTAGTTATTTAGATACATATTTAGATACACTCTACACATATACAAAGAATTGGATCCACATATGTCTTCAGTGAGTGGGTCAACCTTCTAAAGCCATTTTCTGGACAATGTTTTCTTGTACAACAGACCTTAAAAGAAAGGGGTAGCTGGTTCTGTGTTATGATACTTATTTGTTAAAATTCCTTTTGTGAGTGCCCTTTTCAAACTATTTCACTAGCAAAACAATTATTCTCATGTACATTGATCCAGACTGGTGGCTCCTGTGTCGTCTCACTTGGAAATATTTATTGTACTRGTACTAGTATTTTGTTTCTTAATCATATTACAATCAGAACAAATGGACACGTTTAAAATTGACCTTTTTGAATGGGTAGGAGGAGGCTATCTGAAACAATGAATAAGTCAGAAACAGGTGAAAACCAAAGGCAATCAAGTTGGTATTAAATAAAAAATCATGAATTAGAAGAAGCACTACTAGTAGTAGGGAAGCTAATTATGWTWTATTTGTACTCATTTTGAAATGGGCAACATGGATTAGATACCTTTATGACTAGCTGACCCTTCTTAGAATCAATGGTGTTTTGAAAGGTTGATGATTTTGAAATTTTCCAAAAAGTTCCATGGCTGCCTTGAGTTTGAAGATTTCCAGACCATAGATTCCTTACTATTTTAAGATTGGAAAACRAAAAATCTCTGCACAATCTTGAAGAAGCCTGTGATATTGTAAATACGTTTCTGAAATAAAAAATTTCAAAAAAGAAAATTTTGTTTTCAACAAATTGGCTCGGCTTGTCAACTGTTTCAAAATTTATAATATAGAGTTGGCTACCAAGAAATGTATGCACCAGTTGTACATTTTGGGCCCTTATTTTGTGTGTAATGACTGCTTTGACTAAAAAACTGAATCATACTACTGGTACAGTGGGACACTTGTTGAATATTTGAATCCCACATTTGTGCGACCAACTAGTTTCAGCCTTGCCACCAAATAGGTTTGCTTGCACATGCACATGCACATGCACATGCACATGCACATGCACATGCACATGCACATGCACATGCACATGCACATGCACATGCACATGCACATGCAC